TCCTCCGCCCTTTGAAGATCCGTCAGGCTAAGGGTCAAGGTCCTTCATATCTGCATTTCCAGGATTCATGTCTCCAACACTACGTCCATGAACTTTGTGATCACTCCGGCTTTGAAAAGCTATTTCAAGTACATCTGATGACAGCAACTCCTTGTAATTTAGGAATTTATCAATGAATTCGTGATCAGGGTCGTATGATCCCAGATTTTCGATTAAAAGCATCTCAGCTTCTGATCTGGATTGCTTCAGGCAAAATTCAAGGAAACTTGTATCTGCAAGCCACCCGAGTTAAATGGTCATGTACAAGTTACTTCAAGTATAACATACTGAATTAAATTCTCTGAGCTGCTGTATTCAATGTAACGTTCATCATGGGAAAGCTCCATCCGCTCTAACAATGCTAAACTTTATTCAAGGTGTCCCTTCTAATCAGACGAACACAAGCACTTGACAAAATTTCCTCTCGTCCAGAAAATAAGAATTTACGCAAAAACTGACTTGCCAAGTAACCTTAAAGCATAACAGACATCCAAATTAACTTGAAAACCAAAGCTAAGTTTACATTAAAAGGGAACGTACCTTTTGTCCCAATAAGCCTAATACACTCGTTCTCACACCAATCTCTGAAGTCCATGGCCTCTGTACATGTGAAGGAGTCATTATCTTTAGTGAATCACCAAAGAGCCAATCATGAAATAGAACTTATAAAGGATGAAACTAGATGCAGAACTTCCAGGCAAGTGAACTAAGCAGTGTTGAAAACACAAAAGAATAGCCATTCAATTTTACCAGAATGCTTAGTCATGGCATCCTTTTTCAATTTCAGCAACGACACAGATGATGCAGGGGATGAAGACAGAGACCTCTCAGCTGGTTTACCACTAACTGATTTCTGTCGATTTAATGTCCCAGGCGAGTTCCCTTTAATGGGAGTCTTTCTAGAGCCCAAGCTTCCCTCACTTGCAAGCTGAGGGAAATCCGACCTGCATTCAATGATAGAAAAGAAATCAGCTACAATCCACTCACTCTCAATTTGGCAACCAAAACATGAGATATAAGGAAAGAGTAAGTTAGAAACCTACTATTGGGCATCTTACTTTCAAATTTGAATGCTCTAGTTTAAAGGTGAAAAGTGTTACTCATGTATAATAATGAAGGCAATGAGTCTCTGTTTCTAGAGGTTTGCCAATACTTTTCAAATCCAAGCCAATCACTGTTATTTAATCATTTATTACTGTGATTACTGCAATGAGAAATTAAAACCCTTCCTTCAAAAGTCATATGATTGTTTTTGCCAATAGATCTTCGCTTCTGGTCATCATAGCAGCATATAATTCATGTCTTGCAAACTAAACAGGCATTGAAAAGGGCAGTATCAACGAAATTAAACAAGATCCACTAAACATAAATGGAACAAAAAATAGACAAAACATACTGTTTAGTTTCTTGCTTAGATTGCTCTATGGGACCCCAGAACAAGTCATCATCCACTTTATATTTCGACTGAGAAGCAGAATGTGAGCTTGTCTGAATTGGAGAAAAAGCTTTAGATGGAGAGGATGCTGATACTGGCCATGATGAACCAGTACTCCGAGCTGCTTGGGCAGGATGTGACTTCTGAGGAGTAGGTAACTGGTTAGGCTGTGCAGAAGCCCTTTCTCCTGCTCCTTTAAATGTCCCTTAATGAAGTTGGTTTAGGAACCCGACCAGCATCAGCAGACCATGCTGGAGATGGTGAGGGGCTTACAGGCTCCCCTTTCCAGGGAACAAAGTCTCCAAGAGAGGGTCCTGCAGGAATTGAAGGCACTACTTCTTTCTCCACCTGCACAGCGCGAGAGCTTTTACCTTTTTCTATGGAACTTGTACCAATAGCTACTTCACTAGATGAAATCAGGTTGGAGACCTTGGCCCCAGAGCCCTTTGATTTTGTTGACTTCTTCCGGTTTCTCTTAGAGTCTTTTGCCTCAATGAAGTTGTCATCATCTATTGAATCAGAATGAATCACTGTATTTTGGGAGGAAGAAATGTCTGGACTGTCAGTATCTCTTTCGTTAAATTCCTTTAAAACTTCTTCTGCCAATATATCATGTAGTTGGCTTTTCTTTCCCTTGGCATTTTGAGAAGTATCAGGCTTACTTAAACATTCAGTATTGTCTAGTTCTCTTTGACTTTCATTGGATACCTTTACTGCATCTGGATTGGCCACAACCCCAGCCCAGGGAGTTGACAGACTCATGGAATTGACAGAAGTAGTAATTTCAGAAACAAGTGTTTCAGTTCGTGCCTTTCTCTGTTCTTCCTGTTGAATTTCTAGTAAAGACTTTGCCTTGATACCCACAGCAGTTTCCAAGCTCGCCCAACAGTTACTTCCGTACTGTGTGTGGAAACAGAACTAGCTGCCTTCACAACACCCTCAACAACAATTTCGGGGATTCTTCCTGGAACAGTTGCAGACATGGCATTGACATCTTGATCAGCCCCCTCAGTAGCTGCCACAGATTTATTGGTCTTATCCCTTGCAGGTGGCATACTGGTTTCACGAACTGGCTCTCCCTTGCTGGCTTCTCCCCAACTTTATGTCAGCGTTTGGCTTTACAGTTTCTGATTGCTTTGACTGCTCCAAAGGTGGACTCTTTGACAATCCCTTCACTAAATCAGAAGACTGAGATTTGGAAGACTTCTGCTTCTTGGATTTCTTCTCAAAAGCCTTCTTCGGCTCCCGTGCTTCAACATTTTTTACATCTGCAGGGGCGGGCTCATCAGTGGGCCTGTCTCTTCCAGCAGGCAGTTCTTCGTGTGCACCATCTGATTCAATCTTCACACTACTATCCATATTACTTGCTGCTGGAGACTCAAAAGCACAAGTTCCAGCTGATAGCTTCCCAGCATCAGCTGCAGCAGGTATGGAATGCTCACCAGACTCAGAAGTTGCAGTCATGCAAATATCATCAGCTTTGCATGTGTTACCCGGCATCTGCTCCAGAGATCTAGCAGCAGTGTCAGAAACAGAGAGAGATTTTACCACAGGTTCCTCTTTAATTCTATTTTCATGCAACATGGAACTTTCTACCATTGTTGATACAGGCAATGATTCCTTTTGCTGCAATTCATTACTTTGCTCTGGAAGAATAGGGCCCCAACTTTTCTGATGAGCAATATTGCCAAATATTTGGTGAGATATAGGTGGGGCAGAAGCTTCACTGCTTACACCATAACTAGCATCCTGCCCAGGTAAGCTCAAAGTCTTGGCCAGAGTATCTTGCATGGTGGGAATTGGTGTTTGTGAACTGATTGGAAAAATCTCTTGTGGTAGCTGAATATGAGAAGGATCGACACGCAAATTCCCCATTGGTATTCCACCTCCCTGCAACTGTGCATAAGGAGGATCCCCGTAGTGCTGTTGAGACTGATGCTCCTGCAGCACCTGAGAAAGCAGTTGCTGCTGCTTCTGCTGCTGTTGCCTCAATAACTGCTGCTGCTCTTCCTGTTTCTGTTGTTGCTTCAGTAAGAAGAATTTGTCTAGCAATGACATTTGCTGCAATGGAACAGCTGCCTGAGAATGCAAATGCATCAAATATTGCTGTTGCAACATATTTAACATTTGAGGATCCTGGGACAAACCAGTCGCAAGTAATTTCTCCGTTGTCAAAACACCAGAGGGGTTATCTACAGCTTGAGCTGCCAGGTTGCTAAAAGGCAACTGGTTTTGAGGTTGTACCCTTTGTTGTTGAATTCCTAATGGCCCTTGAGGGAAGTTCTGATCATGGTGCAAGTCAATTTTATTCTGCAGTGAATCCAAACCACCTTGCACAGAATAATTTGACCATCCAGCAACACCATTATTAAACCCTGTGGATGACCTGTCAGACAGTCCTTGGATGATAGACATCAAGTCAGCATTCTGGGACCGAGGCTGAAGACCACTGTCACTTGCTGAAGCAAAGAGTTTTGAATGTGGTGGTGCAGGTGCATCTGGGACAATATCTGATTTTGACACTAGAGATGCTACATCTCTCCCAGGCCAATACTGGTAAGTATTTGGTATTGACTTCTGTCGGTCAAGTGCCATCCTCTTGGCCAGCATTAACATGTTTCCAGTATCTACTCCTGATGAATCCAAATAACCAGAATTATTACCCAGAAAAATAAAAAGACGCTCCTAATATAGCCTAATTCAAGTCAAGCCACACAATCCACCAGCACAATACAATTTGCTCAATAAACTACAGATAACAAAGGCAACACACTGAAATATACCTGTATCTAAGTTTTTGGAAAGGGAAAAATCTTGACAAAATAAGGACAAACCTTCTGACAAAGTCTGACCATCAATTGAGGGGCTGCTCTTATTTCCAGACATCAGTGACTCCAAAAACCTATTTTCGGCTTCTGTGGCAGAACTCTGTCTATTCCTAGAATCATTTCTCATCACTTCAATCTCACTTAAGCCAGAATGAATACTCCCAAAGGCATTGGAATTTTGACGCCCAGATGCATCTGTGTACTCATTTGGTTTTGGCGCAGCAAACCCTGGTGGTGGCCGGGCCTTAGCTCGCAGATGCGGCATGGCATCGCCAAGTGACACCCAAGGCGAGTCAGCTGCAGCATTTTCCATACGAACAGGTAAATCAATGCCAAAATATCCAGCCTCAAACCATCCAATAATATCAATTCCTTTAAAGGGACCCTGAATTTGACCCCGAGGATCTTTATAGAAAAGAGATAACTCCTCTGGAGGAGTCTGAGGAACTCTCCGTGTTTCAAACCCAGTGTCAAAAATGCCAGATAGCTGCCTCTTAACTATGGGATCTTCATTAGTTTGCCACTTAGGTACATCTTTGGAGTCAGATAAATAACTCAGATTACTTTCACGCTGGCTATGAGGTTCCTTCAGTTGATGTGACCAAGTCATATCTAAGTTTCTTGACTTAAGATCACCAGGCACATCATGCAAAGAAGTGTTTGGATGCTCGCTTGTTGGCATAGCTCGCAATGCAGCAGCAGGATTAACAGAACCATCTCCTTCAAAGGTCAATTCTCTATTGCTAGGAACCTCATCAGCGAGCTTGAATGAAACTACATCTTCACCCTTGTCTGCAACAAGAAGAAATTAGGAAAACTTCTAAAAATTGCCCAAAAAAGGCACATTCTTTCTTGTGAAGTACAGAAGGAAGAAAATTGTTGGTCACAAACATCAGAAGTATAAACTGAATTAGTGACTTGCCCGGAATATGGTGAAGAAAATTCACTTTTTAATTTCTTTTCATTAAAAGGAAGATAAACAAGCTGACTAATGTTATTGATGATAAAAACTTACCTCCTCATATCTCATGAGAATGTTCATCACTAAAAAAGTTAATTTAAAGGTAACAAAAAGAAAGAGGGAAATTGCAAATTCGTAAATGACCAAACACTATTCCATACAATTAAAATTACCTATTTTTATTTTGCTGAAACTCAAATAAGACCAGATAGACAAGGCATCAAAACTTTACAGATTGGAGTCATTAATTAGAAAATATGTTTGACAGTATAAACAATATATATAATCATTTTTTACACTATCAGAACCTTCATCTGTATGATAATCAAGACAGCCAGCCAAAACAAATCAATTCCAAGCAAGAGCAGTTAGCCTACACCCAAACCCATCTTCAGGCTTCTATCCTGATTATACCTTGGAGAGGGGCACCTCCTAGCTTCATTCGTCTTGACTGTGCGGCATCAGCAGTATTCCATCCATCTTTTGGCACCTGAGGTGCACCGCTACTAATTATTTCCCCTCTGTCAATTCCTTTTAAAGCATCCTGCGCACACAGGAATGCAATCTAATCAACCACCAAAAGCTGCAATGGCATCCAGAAGAACAATATAAAAATACTACTTACCTGTTCTTCAGGAGTTGGCACACAAAGTGCTAGGGGCTCTAGAGGTTCATCCTGTGTTAGATGAGGAACTTGAACAAACTCATCAGCAAATTTTCTAGTTGCATGCATGTCAGTTACCTTGTACACATCAAGTAACTTCATCCTGCTGTACATAAATAGACCAGGCTCTCCAGGCAAACTTTCAATCTTATCCATATTAGTTCCAGGATAATGAGAATATGAAGAGATACTATTCATAGGGCTACCACCAGGGCCAACCCGACCACGTCCAAGAGAGAAGACAGGAGGCGTATTCTCCCCACGGCCCCGTCCATAAGAAAATGTAGGGACTTGTTTGTTTGGTGTTAAGTTTTGGTGGTGGGGTGGCTCCGCCCTTACACGACTCTGTGAGGAATTAGGTTTCCATGGCCGATAATGATCCCCCTCCTTTTCATCCTTTCCATGATTGGAAATGTTTGACAAGCCTTTGTCCATATGAACTTCACCATCTTTCCTAGAACCACCATATTTTTCACGCAAACTTTCTGGCTCCTTGTCATCAGGACCCCAACGTGTGTTCCACTTACTCTCACGTCGTTGATCATAGTTTGTGTCTTTGTTACTTGAATCATTCCATCTATCAGGTAGACCACGACGTGATTCTCCAAAGTGCCTTGTGGGCATATTTTCAGTCCACCGATCCCCACGCCGAGCATCACCAAGGTCTTTGTCCCCATCCCTCCAACGGTCCTTTCGTATGAACTTGGTGTCTCTCTCTTCATCACGCCAACGGTCACGACGAACACTTTCTGAATCAAGCATGGATGGCCTGAAAACATCCTTTCTCTTATGGGCATCATGCAGATCCTCACCATTTCCAGATATCTTGACAGTCTCTGAGCGATTGCCATATGGTGGAGCTGGAACCACATGGTTTTCCTGGGACAGAAAAGAGGAGAGAAGGAAAAAGAACTTTTGAGGAAACTATAATTTATTAATGCAAAGCTGAACGGGGGCATCTAGTTAATAAAGTAAACATGCAAAAAATAAATCATCTTTGTATACATGCACTGATCCGATGTACAAAGCATAAAAAGTAGGAAAATTACAGATGCAGCTATTACATACCACACTTCCTGTTCCAAGTTTACTCTCACCGGGCTTTGGCAAAAGCCACTGAGGTGAGAGAGGAATAGGATTGTCAGGGCCCTGAAAATCTGCACAATGGGCTAGATGGTTCAGTCTATCAAAACTTTGTCAACTTAAAACCAAAAATAATCATACAAATTGCCCATTGCAAATTGAAGAAGTTGTAAAAGCATTATGTAAAGTTTCAAGTTTCACTTATGGCATAAAAGCATGTAAGGCAAACAATAAATAAATATAAATAAAGCAATAAGCCAGTTTCCCACCGCAAAGAAGGAACAAACTCTGTCTAGCTTCCGTCGTTCCCAAAACAAATTTTCTTCATGTGCATCATACAATTACATGTATTTTCTGCTATTGTTCACTTGAAGCAGTAAAAATACGATACACATCAAAACAAAATACAGTAGTACCCATCACTTAAAATAACAGCGACATTCAGTACAAAATATGTCTTAAACATCAAGTGATTAAAAGCACAACAACAAAAAACGCGAACACGGGTGCGGTAAAAAATATTGCGCAACCGAGAGAAAAAAAAGAAATTAATGAGACCAAGAAACATAAAACTGCCAGTTCAAATGCGTGCTAAAAAAAGAAGCAAATCAGCGCTGTAAGTATATCCACTCGTAGTGACCAATTCGTCAATGTGTCTAACCTCCCGAATTCAAAATCTAGACCGACAGCTAAATAAATGGGATTGGAAAGAAGGACTTGAAAAAATGACAGTTTGAAGATAAAGCAAAACCCTAAACTCAGTTTAAAAAAATAAACTGCATTTTCATTGTGGAAATCAACTGAAAAGAATGATAAGGAAAAGCCCAAGTAGCTCACGAGAGCTAGGGTTTACGTCAGAAATGATAGGTCAAAAGATAGGAGTCGAGAAAAATAAGAAGATGAAATACCTTTGGAGATCTCATACGGAGGATTGGCGGAGATGCGGAGGCGAGTATCAGAGGCGGTACGTTCAGCCATGGATGACAGCGAGGACGAGAGACGAGAAACCGAACGAGGCAAGGAAAACCCTTTTGCTTTTGATTGCGCTTGAACGAGGTGAGAGAAAACAGACTAAAGGATCAGTGGGGAATATAGGTTAAGCCTCACAGCAAGATAAATGCTAGTGTACACGTTAACCCGATTCAACCCATGGGCTCACGCTAGTGAGATATGTTGCCCGACCCCTGAACACTTTAGACGAGTTCCTTTGATTATTGAAAACATAATCCACGCGCTGTAAAATCTACAGTGACAAGCACGCTCCTAGTCTATTTCGTGTCGTGTGTTGGACGCGAGTTACTGGTGGGTAGGATTTGTACCCCTGCGATTTTCCTCGCATTTTTTCGGTGACATCTCGTGGCGCGCCCTCCGCCCCCATCCCGCGGGCCAAAACGTCACTGCTTGAGGTCGTTTCACCTGAGATGGCTGCAGCGAACAGTTTTCCAGGATCGAGCGGCTACTATTTCAACAGTGGGGTATGATGAGCCTGCCCCTCATCACTCATCGGGGAGGGGCCGTTGTCGAGGGCTCCTGGGGGTGTATCAAATGGCGTTATTGCCCTTGCTCTTGTATAAAGTAAGAATCTGTTCAATAAGCGAAGTGACTGAATTGAAATAAGAAAAATAGCAAGTCTCGTACTTTTTACCTCTGTATCTGTGCCTTCCTTTGCCGCTTTTTCACTTCTCATACTCCTCCTAGAACGTGTAGATCATGCCGTGTTCCTTCCTGGCTGCCGGTTCATGCTTTAAAGATTAAGTGGGGTGGCCGTATTCATTTCGTAGGATAGGCAAATTGGTTATATTTGGGTCAATGAGCTCAAGTTAATTGTGTCAGAAATGTTTAAGTCTAACTCAGTCCAATTTCTTAGTTAAGCGATCTCGCTTTAACAAGTTTCTTGATCTACCGCCATCTCTTTATCGTTAGATTGATGTTCACTATCAAACTCTTAAATCGATATGTTACTTTAACGTCTACATTGTTTCTTAATTTGCAAATTAATTGAATTGGCAATGAGGATATAGTGAACATTTCTTTTGCTCCTAGAGAGGAAGTTGTTAAGTTCATGAAGCCGGATAAGGTTATTACTGTCGCTTGGGAATGTTATACCGTATTTGTGTATTCAATGACTTCTTTTACCCTTTTATCATTAGTCGCAAGCTGACATTGTTTAGACTGACTAAAGTATCAACTTGCAACAACAGACAATAAGAAGGCGTGAATTAAACTATAGAGTTTCTGAAATAAAGCTGTCTTCAACCAACGATTAAAGGGTAAAGTTGAGTGCCTCTAGCTATAAATTGAGAAATTTATGAATAGGTCAGGGGGTGGAAGACGAATATTCAGTTTGGTTCTTTAGTAACCATTTGAACAGTCGTCTATTGTTTTTTATTACATGGTTTGATCCTTTATTTTTATGATACCAGTTACATTTTTATTGATTTTTTTCATCTCTAGTTTATCATTTATAATTTTTTTGTAAAGCACACAGTATAAAAACTTTTACTGTTCATTTTTATTGTTATTCTTTACGATCGGTTATTGTTTCTTGTTTTTTTTAGAATCAAATGACTCTAATACCATGTAAACTATGTCAATTGAGGGGGGAAAACATAATGACGAAGAAATTATCTATTCATCTCATTAATTATGGAGCAACAAACTCACTCCAATTAAATTGATCCCAAACTTGGGAGGAGAGACCCTATGTTATCCCCTTTTTAAAAAAAGACATGAGTTGTATTCTTTCTTATTATGACGATGATACACATTCCGTCACACCTCAACGCAAAAGCTAAAGACTTTTTATATAGAGTCTACTTTAACTAATCAATAGCACTCAACATTTTTGCCAAATCAAAAGGGGTAATGATATTTTTACCTTATAAATTATGATTAGATTAGACTATTTTGTTAGGACAACTTTTAAAAAAAGTTGTCCTCTCGATGTGATGAAAAATAAAATAAAAAATTAGGATCATTTTGTAATGACAAAAAATAAAAATTCCATAAAATATAATTAAATATTTATTATTTCTCATCTTAATCACTTCTAATGTCAAGAAGGCTCAGTCAAGCCTTGATAACTGAGAGACTCGACATTGATATATGACCTGGTCCAGCAATAAATTGTCTAACTTAATGTCTTGATTTGATTAATCTTTTTTTTGTGATTTAGAACTGGACAGAGTAGATGCATATTATCAAGTCCATCAAATAATTTAGAATCCATAACAGCCTAGCACACGGTAGGCTTGCGCATGGGCAGAGCTGGGCAAGATAAGCCCTATGCGCGATACCCAGCCCGAAAGATGAGTGAGTTGAGTTTTGCAGCCTGCTACCCCCGCATGACCCAGTAGATGCCCTAGCCATTTTAAGCTGGGTAAGGGCAGGCCGAGCAGAACGGGCTTTTCTGCCCCACTTAGTAATACATTACCCATATCATATGTAAAAAAAAAAAATCAATTATCATGCTTTGAGATAGGCCGAATGACTTAATTACTCACATATATATATATAAGGCTTAGGTAGTCTTATTCTTCAGTCTTCGATTTCTTATGGGAGATAAAAAATTATTTAATAACTGAGCTAAATCTGTAGTTTAATCTTTTAGTTCATTCATAAAATTGGCGCATTTTTATAGCCATGTGAAAGCACAAGAATTGAAAAGTGGTTTTATTTTTATTTTTTTGTTTTAAAAAAATCAGAGGTAAGAGGAAAAGAAGGAAATTTAACTTATTTAATCTTATATTTTGATATTTGATTCTTTTATATATATGATTATAATTTTTATGCTCCTTTTATTTTTTCTAATTTTACCAAGTTTTTTTTAGCCAAAATAAAAGGGATAATTACTTAAAATAATATAATACTATACATTATAATACATATGTAATTACTCATATATATATATATAGGCTTAGGTAGTCTTATTCTTCATTCTTCAGTCTTCGATTTCTTATGGGAGATAAAAAATTATTTAATAACTGAGCTAAATCTGTAGTTTAATCTTTTAGTTCATTCATAAAATTGGTGCATTTTTATAGCCATGTGAAAGCACAAGAATTGAAAAGTGGTTTTATTTTTATTTTTTTGTTTTAAAAAATCAGAGGTAAGAGGAAAAGAAGGAAATTTAACTTATTTAATCTTATATTTTGATATTTGATTCTTTTATATGATTATAATTTTATGCTCCTTTTATTTTTTCTAATTTTACCAAATTTTTTTAGCCAAAATAAAAGGGTTAATTACTTAAATAATATAATACTATACATTATAATACATATGTAATTATATATTTTTTCGGGTAGGACCAAATAGGCAGGGCAGCATACCCTATCCACGGCCCAGCCCCGCCCGTGAATTACCCGGCCCGAAAATGCTCATTTTTGTTCAGACAATTTTTTTGTTGGGCTGGATTGGACAGGGCATTTTTTTTGTGTGCTCGGGTGAGCTTATTAAGCATGCGGGCGTTATGCACATCCCTAACACACATCTTCCATTTCTCACCCAGAAAAAGGAAGCCCTGTACAGAGTTTCATAAATAAATACTTCACACATCTTAATCGAATAGTTATCTGGTAATTGATCAAATCCAAAAAAAATTTAGAATCCAAGATAATCTCACAAGGAAAGCATAACAAGTTAACAGAACCATAGATTACCTGAGGAAGCTAAATATGAAGCTTATGGAACCCATGCTTCAAAGTACAAATTCTAGCTTTCCACTTTTCTTCCTTATTACTACTCTCATTAATCAAGACAGATATATTTACTGCAAAAACTCAATGAGAGCTTAATAAAAAAAAGGGCAGTGGCAGACTAGCAGTGACAGGGCTCTAGAAAAGAAATAGAGAACTACAACTGCAGGAAAACCTTTTCGCGTCTATATTGTATTTCCTTTATTTCAAGGCTATGGAGGACAAATAGAGGTAATGGGTCAATTTACATCTATTTTAAACGTGATGAGTCCGTTAGAAAGAGCCTGCTATTAGCTCGTTCCACGAGGCACCATGAATCGAAGCTTATCCTTCTCCTTGTCTCTTTACTAATATTGGACTTTGCAAGGCAAGCCTGAAAGAAAATACAAACAGGAAATCTTAATTGCTGTTTAGTTTAAATGCACATAAATATGTCTTTGGTGCAGAATATACCATTATACTTTTGATCCCGCAAAGCCACCCATTCTTGCAAGGGTAGCCTTAGAGCCCATGGTAGTCAATATTTGAGGTATTGACATACCACCAGATATGACAATCTCTGTACAACATATGAGCACTTAGATATTGAAGAACCACATGTCATAATTGTTCTGAATTGTCCGATAAAATAACTCATACCTATCCCTTCTCGAACTGACAGATTAGGCCTCAAAACATCAATTGGGTTGACCAAAAAAATATCTCCAAGGTACAAGTGGTTGGTAGGAACATAAACACAACAAAGCTCTTCTTCATCTGAGTTCCTCTGCAGTATGACCGTAGAAGTAATAAACCCAAAGCATACTCACCAACACGCGGATGCCTTATGATTGCAACCTCCTTGAAAGCATTTGAGTTTTGATCTGTAGAATTTGGTTATTAATGCATTAAATTTCCCTTATTCCCTTTCTTTTCCTCAGCCAAACCAATAAGGCACTAAAGCATACGGAAGGATATACAGGGATAGGCAGACCTGGGGATATTGCAGTACTTATTTGCTTTGAGGCAGTATAGATGTAGCTTACAAGAGGCATTTTCTTGATGAACCATTCTCCGAGGGTGAGAACAGAAGCTCCCACCCATGACGACATGAAAACACCCACTAAGAAGATGAAAGTGATGGAAGTAACAAATCCGAGACCTATTGGTAATTCATTTTGATCATATTAACATGATTCATAATTTGTGTCGTTGTGATTTAATATCGTAAGCTTTGAGTACCTAGACAATAACAATAACTTACCAAAGATATTGATCCCGAGATGATTATATATAGGGGAGAAGAAACCATCCACAAAGCGGACAAAAAACCAAGTGATATAGAATGTTATAGCCATAGGAAGGAGGATGACACTGCACATCACATTACACTCCAGACATGAGAGTTGGTGTTGAAGGCAAT